CCCCAAAACCCCAAAACCCCACGCATCGAAGTAATGAGAGATGGGTGGGGATTAAAGTAAATTATTGGAAAAAAATAAAGAGACTAATAGAATTAATGCAAATATGTTATTAGTATAAAAGGTTATCTAGTAATCAATCAATATGAGTTTATTCAAATAATAAACATGCTAAATTGAAGCATCATTTATCAACGCTATATTAGGTTGAGCAAGTTGTGTTTGAGTCTTTACTATTAAAAGTATTTCCATCATTAATACTGAAAAGTAGTTATGAGTTTTAATGATTGTTTCTATCAATATCTAGCTAATTTTAGCTAGAGTCTTATCCTCTTGGAATAAGACTTTATTAAGTTATGAAAGGATTTTGGCTTTAAATATGGTAATATTGATAAGAGAGAGCTTAAATTTAGCGATATATTTCATTCTGTAAAGCTATTGATCTGCTATCCAACTCAATACCATTGCTTTAGGAATTTGAGGGATCTATGTTAAGCTTCTCAGTAGAGCTCTAATCTGTACTCCATTTTTAATTTTATAAAGTTGTGTTTGTACAACCTTGAATTGAGTAGAGCTATTAATACAAATATATTATTTGTGAATTTAGGGCGTTCAACATATAAGTTGTATCGTAAATTCTGTTAGCGAAATATTAATAGTTTTGCGAGGATTCCAAAGTATTTTGAACAACTAAGTTTGGTGCCTTGTTAGTAATTAGTTAGGAATTTTTACCAATCTTGCGATTTTTAGCTCTTTTCACTTTCTCTAAATTATATTTAAGACGTAGATCAGGAGATGAATCTCTACTATCGTTTTTGCTTATATTTTTGCAAGGCACCCTACTTATTTTGCTATTTTCCCCTTTATTTTTATGGATGCGCTTTGTTTTATCCAAAATCTTTTTAGATTAAGAATTTTATTTGATTTTTGGCTCAGCCATATTTCCATTATAATTACGCTGAAATAGACTTGCTTAATTGCCTGAATCTTATTCATTTAACTCTAAAACTTGATATTACTCTTATTGATCAATGATTTAATCTAAAGAATCATCATCAGAATAACTTTCGAATGAACCATCCAAATCTGGGGCAGGCTCAGAGAAATAATCATTGTCAAAAATAGATTTTGCAATATTATCTAATTATTGTTCTTACAAATCAAGTACTTGTCTTGGACTTGTGATTACTTCATGAGTTGAATTAGTTTATCTTACTTTCTAATTTTCATCATTTTAACTCTAATTCGAGATGTCTGTGATTGAAGCTTTTTTCTTGAATTAGCTTATAAGAGTTTGGATGTATGGAAGATTTTGATTGGAAGTTGAAACAATATCACCGCTTTTCATATGTCAATGTCTCTACTGTGTGTTATAACTTAAACTTTGATTATATGATATTATAAATAGTTAATAAATTCAAAATTACGAACGATTCCTCAGATCATTTCTTAAATAATATTTCAATTAAATTAAAATTCATTTCGTAGCTGTTTATCAAATTTCAATTATGAGGGGTTTTGGGGTTTTGGGGTTTTG